TGTGTCAAATAAAAATGTCCATGAAACTGACTGTTTACCAAATGTTTACAGGAGTTTATCGTGTCAGGAGAAACTAAGTGTCTCATGATTTAGACTGGGGTATTGCTCTTGTTGGGACTCACAAGTGGTTTTGTCCGCAATACTGATTTTCTGTGTGTCTCCCCACCCCTTGCCCTTCCTTCCCTGTGATGATTGCTTTGGAGAGCTCATGCATCAAACCTGTTGATTGAAATGTGTGGGTAATGGCATAAGGGTTTGAATTACTAGTGACATCTGTGTGTATTACAGAGATTTACAGAGAGCCTTCCGGGGCTCAGTCTTGCTTACATCTTCTGTCCTTTCTAACTTGAATGTGGATTCCTTTTCTTCTAGTACCTCCTTCTGTGCGTGCCAGGCAGAGCACTATGAATGCCACTGCCAACCTCAGCCAGTCTGTCACCTTAGCATGTGATGCTGATGGCTTTCCTGAGCCAACCATGACGTGGACAAAGTAAGATGCTGTGTGCAGTGTCTTGATTGTGTGTGAGCATGGATGTTTTCACCAAGGCCTAGAAAACCAGGCTGGAGGGAAAGCAATATTTTAACTGGAATAAGATTAATTCATTTTTCTCACAAGAGAAAGAACAGCCTCATAACGGAATTGTAGTTAGCTTCTGTTGTGGGTTAACCTCGGTAGGCACCTAAGTACCACACAGCCACTCACTACACGCCCGCCTGCCTCGAGTCGGATGGAGAATAGAATCAGAAGGGTAAAATCCAAAAACTCATTGGTTGAGATAAAGACAGTTTCATAGGTAAAGCAAAAGCTGTGCACACAAGCAAAGTAAAAATAAGGGATTCATTCACTACTTCCCATTGGCGGGCAGGTATTCAGCCAGGTCAGCTCTCCCAGCTGTATCCCTTCCCACTTCTTGTGCACCACCCTCTGGCAGAGCAGTGTGAGAAACAGAAAACCGTTTGACACTGCGTGTATACTGTTGAGCAATAGCTAAAACATCGTTGTGTTGCCGATGCTGTTTTGGTCGCAAACCCAAAACATAGCACCATATGAGCTACTATGAAGAAAATTAGCTCTGCCCCAGCCAAAACCACTACAGCTTCCTGGAAAAACAACAACAGTAAAAAGAGCAAATTTTCACTGTCTTACTGCATCCTTTGTCAAGCTGCAGACAGAGATGAAGCTTCATGCTGACCAGACCTGTCCCATGGGTCAGTTTATTATCATGTGTTGCACTGGTGGGGGAACTTAGGCAAAAGTGGATGCTGTAACTTGCATTTGTCATGCCAGGAATTCCACATCTAAAGTGTTTCTCTTCATTTCATCGGGTCTAGATTTCACTGTCAGGCAGTGTGTAGCCTTTGCTGAATGTTATGAGGACAAGTTGTAATGTTGAAAAAGCCAATGACAACTTGGAATACTGCCTTGATATGCAAGGACAGAAGACACCTTCAGTGATGTTTATAGCTCTTGTATATATAGAATCATAGAACAGTTTGGGTTGGAAGGGACCTTTAAAGGTGGTCTAGTCCAATCCCCCTGCAGTGAGCAGGGACATTTTTAGCTAGATCAGGTTGCTCAGAGCCCCATCCAACCTGACCTTGGATGTTTCACCTCTCCGGGCAACCTGTTGCAGTGTTTCACCACCCTGGTGATGTGTGTCAGGAGGCAAAAAGTTCAGCTGTCAAGAGCCCTAAGGCAGGAGGGATTAAGAACAGATCAAATTGTAAACTTTGTAGCCCATGGGGAAAGGAAAAGGTGGTGGTCCCTCTCAACCTGGAAAGTTTCAGTGTAGTAATGCAGTTCCAGCATTAATGACAAGCCTAAACCAAATCGCCTTTGATTGCTTCTCCTCCCTGATGCAGCTAGTGTGCTTTGTGCCCTGCAGGGATGGAGAGCAAATAGAAGAGGCAGATGATGAAGAGAAATACAGTTTTAACTACGATGGGTCCGAGCTCATCATCAAGAAGGTGGATAAGAGTGACGAAGCAGAATACATCTGCATCGCTGAGAACAAGGCTGGCGAGCAGGATGCCACCATTCATCTCAAAGTCTTTGGTAAACATGCTCTTATGGTCCCCTCTTTCCAATCCAGATGGCTACTGGTAGCTCACTAGTGCAAGCTGGAAGTAACCTACTTATCCCAGTTAATGCCTGATGGGGCTTACCCAGAGCTGCTTTGTTAGCAAGTAATGCTGTGCACCTTTGCCACCATGCTAGGCAAACCAGATTCTGTGTATGTGTCTGAAACAGGTGCCAACTCCATTCTGCTTCCTTTCTGATAAAAGAAATTCAGTCCTGTGCATGGGGTGGTGCGAGATTCACATGGTACTTGAAATATCTTCCAGGCCCAGAGGGCTGAATCCTATTCCAGCCAATTCTGCTATTAAAAGGGCTTTAGCACTTCAGTGGGGCTTGCTATAAGCTGGACAGGGAGGTGAACTCCACCCTCACCGCTGTGTGAGTGACCTCAGGCTTGCAGGAATGAATCAGCAGCTTTCCTACCTTCTGTGAATCTGGGAGTGTTAAGGGACATAATCCTTCCTGTCCCATCCCTCTGCAGCCCCTTGACAAAGCTGCTTATCAAAAGGCTAATTTGGGGCGGAGAAAGCAGACGGCGAGGTGGAAGACTTAGCTGATAATCCCAGGGACTGCTCATTTGTACACTCTTAAATGAGTTCTACTTCAGATACACCTTCTAGTCCTCTCTTACAAGCCTCAGCTGTAAGCATGTGTAGAAAAGGTCATCCTCCAGTTCTGCGTGGAGGTACCTCTTCTCAAATGGCACTCTGCTCCCTTCCTCACATGGCAGTAAACTTGCGCCAATTCAGAAGCCTTTTTTCCCCGGTGTTGCTTGTTTCAAACGTTGCTGTTGACAGGCAAGCTTCATTCTGAGCATCAGCTGAATCAAAGTTGCATTTTTTTTTCAGCAAAACCCAAAATCACCTATGTGGAGAATAAAACAGCCATGGAGCTGGAGGATCAGATCACACTGACCTGTGAGGCATCTGGGGACCCAATCCCTTCCATCACTTGGAGGACTTCCACCCGGAACATCAGCAATGAAGAGAAGGTATAACCCTTCCCAAAGCCACGGTCTTATTTGCTGGGATCAGTGCAGCTTGTATCTGCCTGCCTCTGCTGATCCAGAATGCATGATAGCCACCCGCAGATGCACATGGAAATCATGGTGATTCCCTGCTGCAGTGGGAACACGTGTGGTCCTGCGCAGACTGTCTGCTAAAGGGTCAGCTCCACAGCTCAAGTAGTGCCATAGGTGTCCTTTTGTATGAAGAGCCATCTCGGTTTA